AAACTGGTGCCACTCTTATATGAAGTGTTGAGTTTGATCTTCGCCCAGACTGACGAACAGTTTCGCAAGAACCACTTAAATGACCTGCTGGAATTTTACTTCAGCGAGCTGGAAGTGAATCTGGAAAGTGCTGGATCCGACTACATCCTCAAGAGAGCAGTGTTTAACTTCCAGGTGAAATACCTGCTGGTATCCGTAAAGTTCCAAACCCTTTTGGAAGCACTACAAGACCAAGACGCGAAGAACCAGAAACGAGTGAGCGAGTTGGTGAAGAACCTGCAAAACTACTTCAGCTTCCCAAAGATCAATCAAGAGGACGTTTACACGGTGGTGAGGAACAAAGTGGGCTCCAACAACTACGAACTTGTTTCCTACGAGCTTATTCCTCTGGATGCGAAAAACGGACATTTAGGGGAATATTTTCAACTAAAGATCGAAATCACGCGAAACGGCAAGAGCGAAAGGCTGAATCTATTCGCTAAACTAATCAACGTCAACCACGCGCTACTGAAGGACCTGCTGGAACGCGGACCATCGAAGAAGGAAGAATTCTTCTACATGGTTTTGTTGCCCAGAATGCGCGATCTTGGTCTGGGGGAGTTGCTCGACTTTGCGCCCAACTGCTACCTTTCAAGGGTGGACGACATTTTGGTCCTGGATGATCTCACCTCAGCAGGCTTTGTGGGTCTCACTCCGAACATCAAGTTGGATTATAGCGCGCTTAAAGTGGCCACCCGACAATTTGCCAAACTTCACGCCTGCAGCATCATCATGGAAGAAATTCTGTCCAAACAGGCGGGCAAGCGGGTCACAATGTATGATCTATACAGCGAGTATCTTCAAGAGGTGCTGTTTCTTCCGGATGTGCCGGATATGAAGCGAAGCTTCGATGCAACTATTGACAACATTGAGTACATCGGCTCGAAGTTTCCAGAGATAGCGGGAAAGTATCCCAGTGAGGAATTGAGAAAAAAGGCCCAGAAAGGCTTTAATCTGGCCCTGGAGAGGGTTAAACCCTCAGAAAAAGTGAAAAACGTTATCTGCCACGGAGATGTGTATGTTTCAAACATGCTATTTAACTTTGATGCCAATAATAAATGTGAGGCGGTAAAACTAATTGATTTCCAGTTGCTGCGCTACTGTCCTCCCACCCAGGATCTGATGTTCTTTTTGTACCAAAACTCCGTTAAATCCACTTTAGATCAATGCAAGGCCGAACTAATCGAGGAATACTACAAAGTCCTTTCAAACAGCTTAGAAAAATTCAACCTGAACATCAAAGAACTGTATCCCAGGGAGGTATTCGAAGAAAGCTTAAAGCTGCTCAAAGTCCAAGGCATTTTCCACGCCTTCTTCTACTCGCCCATACAGACCCTGGATCCAAAGCTGCGGGAAAGTGTCTTCAGCGACGAAAAGGCCTTTGAAAAACTCAAAGGAAATCGGTTTGGGCTCATCGATATCGGCTTGGAGCTGGAAAGTTACAGGGAGGTGATGAAGAGCCTGTTGTCGTATGTTATTGAATTATGCGATGCAGGAGAATTATAAGGCTAGGTGTGGATGAATTGTTGTAAATATAAGTTTTATTTATCAAATTATATTTTTTATTGCAAATAAATACTTTTTTTGGCTTCGCACATTCATTCAGATCGGCAGCACCGAAGCGCAGATTAAGAAAACTGTTGCTCTTAACCTTGTCTTGACTGATATAATATGTTGAGTACCTAATATTTGTCGAAACCACATTGGGAATTTATGAAATAACAAAACGTCCTCAGGAAAATGTATATTGATATGCAATATGAACTCTTTGTGGGTTCATGGGTTTTGATCCTTGATCAGGTAAGTAACTATCAGTAATGCGTGGCAGTTGCGTGCGCCTGCGAAAATTCCTGATGATGTCCAAATACGAAATTTTCGAAGTTCATAGAATGGACTTTGGTGTAATAGATGAAAGGGAAAATAAATATGGCGCTGTATAATTGGGGTGAAATAAATTATTTCTCATCCCCCCTAAGATTAAGATTAAGAAAACTGTTGCTCTTAACCTTGTCTTGATTGATATAATTTTGAGTGGCTAATGTTTGTCGAAACCGCATTGGGAATTTATGAAATAAGAAAAACGTCCTCAGAAAAATTTATATTGATATGCAATATGAACTCTTTGTGGGTTCATGGGTTTTGATCCTTGATCAGGTAAGTAACTATCAGTAATGCGTGGCAGTTGCGTGCGCCTTCGAAAATTCCTGATGATGTCCAAATACGAAATTTTCGAAGTTCATAGAATGGACTTTGGTGTAATAGATGAAAGGGAAAATAAATTTGTCGCTGTATCATTGGGGTGAAATTAATTATTTCTCATCCCCCCTAAGATTAATATTAAGAAAACTGTTGCTCTTAACCTTGTCTTGACTGATATAATTTTGAGTGGCTAATGTTTGTCGAAACCGCATTGGGAATTTATGAAATAAGAAAAACGTCCTCAGGAAAATGTATATTGATATGCAATATGAACTCTTTGTGGGTTCTTGGGTTTTGATCCTTGATCAGGTAAGTAACTATTAGTAATGCGTGGCAGTTGCAAATACAAAATTCTCAAACTTCATAGAATTGCTTTGGTCTAATTGATGAAAGGGAAAATAACTTTGGCGCTGTATCATTGGGGTGAAATTAATTATGTCTCATCCCCCCTAAGATGCACGATTATTTTGCAAAATCCTCTTATGATGGACTTGTTATGGAACTTCCAAGTTTAATCGAATCAGTTTTGCTCTATTTCAGGCTATTGTAATTTTTCCTAGAAGTTTGGAAGATTAAAGACAAAAAACGTTCCAAGCATTCAGTGAACTCAAATGTTTCAAAGTGCCCTTTCGAGATGATGCGGCAAAAACTGAAAATTTTTGATTGCATTCAAAGTGAAAGCGAATTATGATTTGTCACAATCTGATTAGAAAATGCCACACAGCATTGGATCATTTGATAAGAAATGATCCTCTACATGATTTGACAATTGTAGAACTTTTTTTTAACTGTACACGTGTTACGCAGAAACTAGGTTTTTGCATGTGCTGCCAATATTTCTCAAAATTGCACTTACAATGCCAATCCTACTCCTGGGTAGTACATAAGCAGAATTGTCCCTAAAAAAACTCCGAGTCCGGCTCTGGCAAATATTAATTTCCCAATCATAATTTAACAACAAAACAAGTTAAATACGGTTGCTTATGTTAGTAGGAAACAAACGAAGGTCGTAATATCATATGCCTAACCAACATGGGCGAATTAACGGGTTCCGAAAATCGTGTTGATATCGCGAGCGTGGACAATCTAAAAACTCTCATTCGAAATATTGCCAAGGTGAACGCTAGTGAGAT